CAGGCCACTTAGAGGTATGAAGCATGCTGAGGCCAGATGCTGCTTGTTTGAGAGATTTTAGGAAAGCCTGAAGCATGAGCCAAGACAGGCCATTCCTATGGAAAAGGCACTGGCAAGTTTGGTGGGGCTGGTTCTCAGGGAATCATGGGGGCGTGGGATAGCCAGGCTGACGGAGACCCAGATATGGCACCTATCTTCTGGCTCTGTGTAGGGAGAGTTCAGAAAAGGAACAGTGGCCTCTGATAGCACTTCTGTCTGGGAGAAAGATGCCCCTCTAGTTCTCACCCTGATGCCAGACAATTCAGTCCCTCCTTGTTATGTGCCTAGTGCCTTTCAAGCTGCTGCCCCAGTGCTGGAGCCCAGAGGGAGTGAGTCTGAGTAAATCTGTGCTTGGGCCCTTTAATAGGAACTCCAGCAGCCCTCTGTCTCACTCAGCCACAATCTCTGCTGTTTGTTTGTTTGTTTATCCTCACCTGAGAACATTTTTGCATTTATCCTCACATAGAGTAGGAGGGAGAGAGAGAGAAAAACATCGATGTGAGAGAAACATACCTAGTGGTTGCCACCCACACCACCCCAACTGGGGCCGGGGACAAACTGCACCCGAGGTACATGCCCTTAGTGGGAACAGAACCCAGGCCTCTCTGGTCCGTGAGCTGACACTCCAACCGCTGAGCCAAACCGGCCAGGCCTCTGCTGGTTTTTAGTCAGAAGTTAATGGGGACTTGCCTTCCTGGCACTGGACCCCTTGTTCCTTGGGGGTGGGGTCCTGGCAGCCAAGGTATCCCTCCCAGTTTTTGTGTGCCACACATGGGTGTGGGAACAGCCCAGCCCTTTCCATGTCTCTGCCTCTTCTACCAGTATTGCTGTGGCTTCTTTATATCCTTAGCTGTAGGACTTCAGTTCAGCTATATTTCAGGCATTTGTGCAGATGGTTGTTCCATAGTTTAGTTGTAATTTTGATGTGGTTGTGGGAGGATATGAATTCTGCCCAGCCTACCCTTTAGATTGATCTTATCACAACCCCTACATCTGAAATTAGTTATTCCTTTCTGGAAGCATATTTTCCAAACCTTTTACAATTTGAGTTACTCTGTGTTTTATTTATTTTAGTTTTTTCTTTATTGATTTTAGAGAGAGAGGAAAGGAGAAGGAGAGAGAGATAGAAACATCGACGAGAGAGAACATTGATTAACTGGCTCCTGCATGCCCCCCATTGGGGATCAGGCCCACAACCTGTGCATGTGCCCTGACCGGGAATCAAACCGTGACCTCTTGGTGCATGGGTTGACCCTCAACGACTGAGCCATACCGGCCAGGCGTGTTTTATTTCTTTTTTTCTCTTGCATTTTATAAGTGCCTTTTGTTAAAATGTGATTCCTGAAATCAAATACAATGTAGTTCAAACAGTGTGGACTATAGGAGATAAATCCTCTCTTAATTTGGACTCTGAACTTCTTTGTTCCCCCCTTTTGGACTTCAGAGACTCATGGCCTTTTCTCTTCGTTAATCCATTCAAGGTTAGAAAAAAGTGCCAGAATTTACTACATTTGCTGTATCAGTTGATTTACCTACTAGTTTAGACCTTATGGCTTTGGGTTTGTTTGTACTCTCTCTCTTTTTTTTAACCTCACCCAAGGACATTTTTGCATTTATCTTCAGATAGAGCGGGAGGGAGTGGAGGAAAGAGAGAGAGAGAAACATGGATGTGTGAGAGACACATCGACTGGTTGCCTGCCACCCACACCACCCCGACTGGGGCTGGGGACAAACCACAACTGAGGTACATGCCCTTAGCAGGAACTGAACCCAGGACTATCTGGTCCGCAGGCCGACGCTCTAACCACTGAGCAAAACTGGCCAGGGCTGTTTATACTTTTTTTTAAAGAAAGTCTTATACTTTGTGACTATTGTTTTTAAATCTGAATATTAGGTTTTACTTTAAACCCATTTACATTTCATCTTGCTTATCATGAGTTATCCTTCCAAGTTTTCTAGGTCTTTAAAAATTATTGTGTTGATCTGTATTTTATTGATCTTTTCAGCTTTTCCTTTTCAAGTGTGCCATCTGGGTCTTTATCAGTCAGCAGGGCAGGGCAGCTTCCAGACCCACAGCGTGAAGGTATCCTTCTGTGATTGTTTGTTCATTGATGAAGCATTTATGGAAATGCTTACATCATAACAGCCACTCAAAGAGATTCGAGGTTATAGAGATAAATGATTAACATAGCCTCATAGGCGGAGATCCCATTTCAGTGGGAGAGAGAGATGGAAAATCAGTTACCCTGTGATTATGAGGGGTAATGAGGATTATGTACAAAGGGTGATCAATTACAGCGGTAGGTGCTGTTAGGACGTGGGGTCAGGAGAGTTTTCAAAGGTTGCAAGGAGACATCAGAAATTTTACTCTTTGGCCCTGGCCGTTTTGGCTCAGCGGTTGGAGCGTCGGCCTGCGGTACAGAGAGACCCGGGTTCAGTTTCCGCTAAGGGAACGTACCTCGGTTGCAGTTTGTACCCGGCCCTGGTTGGTCGTGCGGGTGGCAGCCACTCGATGTGTCCCTTCACATCGATGTTTCTCTCTCTCTCTCTTCCTCTCTCTCCCTCCTGCTCTATCTGAACAAAAAATGGAAAAATGTCCTCAGGTGAGGATAAAAAAAAAAAAAAAAAAAGAAAAAGAAATTTTACTCTTTGGATGCCATTGGTTAGTCAGCTACAATTCTTTGTTAACATTTGTTCATAAACAATTTCTTCCTTGTTTTGTGTTATCTTTGTGCAAGGGGTTCGTGGGTGGAGAAGAGAATGGAGTACTTTCTTCTGTATATAATCTTCATTACCACTCACAGAGTAACTGATTTTCTCATGTTTATCTCTCCCACTGAAATGAGATCTCCTAAGAGGGTTATGTCTCATTCACCTCTCTAACCTTGCATCTGAGTGCCTGGTGTAGTGTAAGCATTTCCATAATATTTTATTGAGCAGCTTTTACAGTCAGGCATTCTGCTAGGCATTTTACAGACATTAGTTCATTTAAACCTATTTAGCAATTCTATAAGGTGAGTGACACCTAGGGTTTATAGATGAGGAAAATATTAGGTGACTGTCCCTAGCATTAAATAACCAGGAACCTAGACTTGATATTTTGAAATCAGATTGGCTTGACTCCAAAGCTCATGCTTTTCCAAGGATATCCTGAAAAACTTTGATGTTCTTTACTGATACAGATCTAAAGTCTTTTAAGCTCTCAGGCCAGTATTTAGAACAAAAAAGGTAATGAAGCTGTTGTGACTTGTTTTTGTTTTAGATTGGTGATGTTAACTTTATTTGCTTCACTAATTTTTCCCCTGGAATATATTAAATTATAGACATTATTATAAGTTCGTATGCATCTCTATTTTTCTATGTAACCATCATCACATATAAAAAAATTGACACCAAAGCCTCAATATTATCTAATATCCAGTCTATATTCAAATTTCCCCAAATTTTCAACTTGTTTTTTTCTTTTATCCTCACCCGAGAATATTTTTTCATTTTTTGTTCAGATAGAGCGGGAGGAAGAGAGAGAGAGAAACATCAACGTGAAAGGTATACATTGAGTGGCTGCCACCCGCATGACCCAAGCAGGGCCGGGGACAAACTGCAACCGAAGTATATGGCCTTAGCAGGAACCGAACCCGGGTCTCTCTGGACCGCAGGCCGACGCTCTAACCGCTGAGCAAAACCAGCCAGGGCTTTCAACTTGTTTTTAACAGCATGATTTCCATTGGGTTCTGGGAAAAGAAATTATTTCACTGAGTGCTCTTGAAACAGTTTTTTTTTTTTTTTTTAATTTAATTTTGCCATTTAAAATGTTGAGTGGATTAATGTCACATTCACAGATATACTCCAAAACTTTATAATTCCCTCCCCATAAAGCCTATTGCATCTTAATCTCCACTTGTCTAAGGCTTCAAGTCCATTTATTTTACAGTAACCATTGTTTCCCCATCAATCAGGATGTTACTTTTTACCGGTATTGTAGGTGTTACCTTTTACCAGTGGGGTAGGTAGCTATTCTAGTTATATAAAAAATATTTTTTTAGGTATGTTTTTATTGATTTTAGAGAGGGAGAAACATCAGTTGGCTGCCTCCTGCACACCCTTACTGGGGATTGATTGAGCCCACAATCTGGGCATGTGCCTGACTAGGTATTGAACCCGTGACCTCTCAGTTCAACTATCTGAACCACACTTGCCAGGGCTAATTATACAGTTTTTTTTAAAGAGGCCATTATCTAAGAACAATTTAAATAAAATTCTCATTGCCCTTGTTAAAACTAAGACTTTTAAAATCTTAACAATTGAGTTTCCCTGAATTAAAACCCAGAACTTTAATGTAGTAATTTAAATGAGTATTTGTTTTTGGTGTTTAGGCCTAAATCATTGAAGTGTGGCAAATTGCTCTTAAAATGAATTTTATAACAGTATTTTGAATCATTTTCCATACATTGTTTTTCCTAGGATTAAGAGAGTATCTTCCACAGATGGTTAAACTGCTGTCTTGTCTGGTAGTTATCTTAGATCCTTTCAGTGCTTTCCATGATGCTAAAACATGCTAGCAAGTAATACTGTCTTATGTTGCGTATACTGTGTTAAAGAGGTGTTCGGCCAGTAGTCTTCCTAAAGTCATTCTGTTTCTGCCATCATACTGAATGTCTTGCACAGTGCTAAGGGCTGTAGGGAATATGAAAAGTATGACACAGTTCCTAATCTCAAAGAGCTTGTAATATTGGTAGCATTACCACAAGCTAAATTGTAGGCACTGCCTTCTTTTCTAGACCTTCAGGTAGTTGGGAGTTACCATATACAATTTATAGTGTGAGCACTAAGGGCTGATGTTTCCATATCAAACCCCGGTCATTTCTGTAACTGTGTAAACTAAACTGTTCTCTCTTCTCCTCCCCTTTCCCCCAACTTGATCTTAATGGAATTGTTTGGATTTCTTGATTATTTTATAATAGTGGGACACAGCAGGCCAAGAAAGATTTCGAACAATCACCTCCAGTTATTACAGAGGCGCCCATGGCATCATAGTTGTGTATGACGTGACAGATCAGGTAAGTTCCAGGAGGAAATTGTGCTATAGTGGCCAGGTAGGAAGTTACTATTTGATAAATGCCCATCCATATTATTTACATGGCTAAAAACTTTGCTTCCAAATAAGTAAATCACATAAACATTATTTGGGTACCTAATGAATTGGTCAACCAAAATTTCGTATTATTTTCCTTAAGTAAATAGAAAATTTAGTAATTGGCTTTACATTTGCTTTCAAGGGACTCTGGTTATATTTATTATCAACTAAATAACTGACCATTTTGGCAAGAGTTTATAGGGAGCTGTGGGTTGTTTGGCTTATTCCATGTTCTTGATGTTAAGTATTACTGAATTTGCCTGGTAGACTTCTCAGAATTGTCAAAAGCCAAGATTATGGGTCTCTTCCTGTAGAAGATATGGCTCAGAAATAGGATGAGCTAGAGGAAGATTTTAGGGAGATAAAGAATATCTGAAGATTAGCTTTGGAGAGAAGGTGAGGGCAGGTGTAGGGATAGTGTGAAGAATGTGGTCCAAGGACCATAACTATTGTTTTGATTAGAAAATTTCATTTTTTTTTTTTCTATCAAAGAATAAAAGATAAATGTTCAGAACTTATTTTTCTTGTAGCAGATGTTAAATCTCACCTCAGCTATGATATCATAGCTAATTAGGAGATAACTGGAATCATAAGACTTTAAATTCAATGCAGTGAGAGGTATTGAGTGATACAAGAGAAAAAATGGTGCTAATTTAAAAAAATCTCCAGTCATTGCTGTGAAATATTTAAAAATAAAAAATTTCTTCTCCTTAATATGACTGCAGAAAAGAAAACAAACATCTTTACTTTGGACCCATTTATTTAATACTATTTTGAGTCTCGAATAGTAACAATAAGCTATCTATCCATAGCTTATTAAGTGTTACTGTTAACACTTAAAAATTTGAAGTCAAATTTCAGTTCAGATTTGAACTATATATAGTGTGATGCTGAGCTATTTTTCTCTGTCAAATAAGGTATTTTTATCTTGTAGCCTTTAAATTCTAATTTCTTATTTATTTAGGGATGGCTATTTTAATGTTATCAGTCACTTCTTAGCCAGCACTATAGTTATTATTTGGAGCTAGTGGTTTTATTCATTATTCTTAGGTCAAGAAAGACACTTCTGTTTATCACTCGCTTCATTAGAGCAGTTGTTGTAGAGGAGAACTATATTATCATTCTTAAAAATGTCTGTCTTCTTAGGAGTCCTTCAATAATGTTAAACAGTGGCTGCAGGAAATAGATCGTTATGCTAGTGAAAACGTCAACAAGTTGTTGGTAGGGAACAAATGTGATCTGACCACAAAGAAAGTAGTCGACTACACAACAGCAAAGGTATGTTTAAAGTTTGATTTTTAAACTGAAATTTGAAGGTGTTGAATTTGAATTATGTATGGGTGTGGAGTCATACAATGATTACAATTTTGCTTTTAAAAATGTTTCTATTCATCTTTTTAGAGAGGAAGGGAGAGATAGAAACATTGATGTGAGAGAAACATGAATCGGCTGCCTCCTGCACACCCTCTACTGGAGATCGAGGCCACACCTGGGCATGTGCCCCGACCGCGAATCAAATCAGGACCTCTCAGTCTATGGAACCATGCTCAGTGAACACTGAGCCACACCGGCTGGGCACACGACCTTTTGCTTTTAAAATGTGAACTAGAACCCTGACTGGTTTGGCTCACTGGTTAGAGCATTGGCCCGTGGACCAAAGGGTCACACGGGTTTGATTCCCTGTTAAGGGCATGTACCTGGGTTGCAGGTTCCACCCCCAGCCTCAGTCGGGGTCCTCCAGGAGGCAACCAATCAATGTGTTTTTGTTACATTGATGTCTCCCTGTCTGTCTCTCTCTTCCCCCTACCCCTTCTTCCTATCTAAAAATCAGTAAAAAGTATCCTCAGGTGCCGATTAATAAAAAAATAAAATAAAAATGAAATGTGCACGAGAATACATTGACATGACAAATTCTTTTTTTAATCCTCACCCTAGGATATTTTTCTGTTTATCTTCAGATAAAGTGGGAGGGAGAAAAAGGGAGAGAGAAACAGCGACATGAGACACATTGACTGGTTGCCTCCCACATGACCCTGACCAGGTCCGGGACGAACCACAACCGAGGTATGTGCCCTAGGCCAGAATTGAACCTGCGACTCATTGGTCTGCGGGCTGACGCTCTAACCGCTGACTGGCAGGGCGACATGATACATTCTTAATGGTGTCTGCTTGGATTCGGAAATTTAGTCTTTCCTCACTGCCCATTTTAGATAGAAATGCACTAAATGAAAAAGATTTTTCAATGTTAATTGTGCCTTACTATTCTCTTAGGAATTTGCTGATTCCCTTGGAATTCCATTTTTGGAAACCAGTGCTAAGAATGCAACGAATGTAGAACAGTCTTTCATGACAATGGCAGCTGAGATTAAAAAGCGAATGGGTCCTGGAGCAACAGCTGGTGGTGCAGAGAAGTCCAATGTTAAAATTCAGAGCACTCCGGTGAAGCAGTCAGGTGGAGGTTGCTGCTAAAATTTGCCTCCGTCTTTTTCTCACAGCAATGAATTTGCAATCTGAACCCAAGTGAAAAAACAAAATTGCCTGAATTGTACTGTATGTAGCTGCACTACAACAGATTCTTACCGTCTCCACAAAGGTCAGAGATTGTAAATGGTCAATACTGACTTTTTTTTTATTCCCTTGACTCAAGACAGCTAACTTCATTTTCAGAACTGTTTTAAACCTTTGTGTGCTGGTTTATAAAATAATGTGTGTAATCCTTGTTGCTTTTCTGATACCAGACTGTTTCCCGTGGTTGGTTAGAATATCTTTTGTTTTGATGTTTATATTGGCATGTTTAGATGTCAGGTTTAGTCTTCTGAAGATGAAGTTCAGCCATTTTGTATCAAACAGCACAACCAGTGTCTGTCACTTTCCATGCATACAGTTTAGTGAGATGTTATATGTAAGATCTGATTTGCTAGTTCTTCCTTGTAGAGTTATAAACGGAAAGATTACACTATCTGATTAATAGTTTCTTCATACTCTGCATATAATTTGTGGCTGCAGAATATTGTAATTTGTTGCACACTATGTAACAAAACAACTGAAGATATGTTTAATAAATATTGTACTTATTGGAAGTAATATCCAACCGTATGGTGATAAGTATTGTTTTAATTCTTATGGTTAAAGGGAAATAGAACCTTGTATTATTCTTAAAACATCCATTTGTGTGTGCAACCAGGGCATTGTAGTAGACCTACCTTAGAGCAGCATCCAATATGCCTTCCAGATATTATACCCAATAAATGACCTTGGGAAGCTTTGTGTTGGGTAGGGATTTAATCAAGCTTAGTGGTTCAAAGATTAAATTGTATGGAAAACAAGTTTAGGATGTATGCTGTCTAGCCTGTTATCTCTGATCCTTCTCTAAAACCATCTGAAATGGCTCCATTGATCAATACTTTGTTAATTCTTTTCTGTGGTAAAGGTGGAAAAAGCATCACCTTTTAATTGACAGCTGATCAGACTAACGCATGTGCTAAACATGCTTTGAGTCAGATGTCGACTATTTTATCCTCCACAATTGTATAGCTTAGATTGGAGGAGAGATAAAGCATTAAAGTAGAAAGCAGGAAAATTTTACTATTTGATTGCCCTAATTTTAGAAATTATATCCCTAAAAATTAACTGAAAACACAAAAGCTGGGTGGGAATAATAAATGAGAGATATATTTATTTCAGTGGAATTTTGCACATGTGAAAATTTTGTTAAATAGGACCTTAGAGATTCTAGGGTTTGTTTTTATTGTTGGAAACAAAAATCTTTTGCTAACACTGGCATTTTAAGGTGATAGAAATCAAAGACTATCTTCCTTGGGGTTGAAGTACCCGCCAAAATATTCTTTAGGGCTTGGGATACGGTTGTTGGCGACACATTTTATGGTGGGGTCTTGAATTCAATGATAAAACTTTAAAATTAAAACAAGCCAAAAATTAAAGTTTTTTTAAATTTTTTTATTTTCACTAAACAGGCAATTGAAATACATGGTACAAAAATAAGTGGTAAGATTATTGTAAAATAAAATGGACAGAATAAATATTCAATTTAATTTTCCATCTATGAGAATTTCACAATAAAATCATAGTTTACTTTGTATTATAGATGTGCTTGTTGGATCTATTCATCCTCACATAAGGCAACTGAACTCAATAGTTATTTGGGTGAAGATTTTTTTTAATGCTTCAAAAGGTTTTTTTTTTTTCTCTTTATAATATGGTGTAATGGGGGAAAAGATTCAGAAACTATTTTCTAAAGTAGATAAATGATACAAATGTTAGTGATGCGGTGCACTTCAGTTTTATACAGCAAGTTGTTCAAACTGTCAGCTTATTCTTGGGGAGTTAGCAAAACACATTACATGAATTTATTTTAAGATGTAAGCATATTTACATACATAGTTTTGAAAATTCTAGTGTTCTTTCCCCCATGATAGTCAAGATTGGGGCTTACCTAAGCAAGATGTTTCAGCATGCTCCATTGTTTGCTTTTATGACTACCAATAAATGCAGTGTTGAAAAAAAAAAAATCCCATTCCTACCCCCTTTTCAACACACATTTCAAACTACTATAGACTTTAATAATCTATTTACTTAATAAAAGGAAATTATCACTTGTACTAAAAATTAAGTCGCTGCCATAAATTAGCTTACATTAAGAGTAAGCTAAACCTAAGCAGTGTAGTCTCTGGGAAATCCTTACAGAATGATAGCTATTCTGGTCTGAGCAGGAACTTCCTATTCTTTAACCTTGGATTGAAACTTCCTTTGACCTACATAACATGTTGCCATTGCAGTACATTTTTACATCAATCCTTTATGTTCCCATTTAAGCTTCAATACAGCCGGGTTTACACTGTATCCATTTTGGAGATGAGCTTAGCCATGGAGTCGCAACAAGAACCCAGGTCTTAAAATTGCCAATACAGCTCGTAGTACTGCCACTTCCCTGTGGACTTAAAATTCTACTAATTTAAAGGGACTACTAGGACATTTACTACAAAAACTTGGGATTTCATAACCACACTTATGTCACTGTAGGCCACTGTTGTCCTTAAGGCTAATGTGTACCACTGTGCACTGGTCAGCCGGGCTATGTAACCCGGCCGTGTTTGCTCATGCAAATGCAGCTGGCATCTTCCTAGGCTGAAACAATTTCAGCTTCTATTTTTTATAGCAATGCTGAAGATGTCATTGGCATTCATAACTAGGTCCAGAATAAGCACCCTTCAGTCACACCTTATTTCAAAGGAGAGGAACAAAAATCTTGAAGAGTTGACCTCTAGGTAAAGCAACTTTGTTGGGAAACAGGGTACTTTAAAATAAAGTACTCTGAAAATTCCTATCATTACAGTTATTAGGTTGAATGGAAATAGAATGGCAATATGCAGCATTCAATTGCTGTAACACTGGTTAATTTGTTTTTATAGGGTTGTCATCTTCAATTTCTTTTTGCTAACCAACAGACTTATTCTCATGCCTATCAAAAAGTAACAGTAAATAACTGGGTTTAATTCCTACCAGCTCTCTTGTAACATACTCACTGGAAAGGCATGTAACAATTTATGGCCACATCAAAGAGAAGGTGAAATATAGCCATTTTAAAAGAGGCTATTAGACATGTCTGCCTCTAGACTGTAAGAATATTTTACATATACAGTTATTTGCTAAGGAGGTGTTTTGTCTATTAAAAGTCTATGTATGGAACCAAGATTAATATGGAGTATCATAATATAGGCAGAACCTTAATACATGATACAGTTTAATTCTGATCACGCCTCTTAAGAATTATGGTAAATCATACCATAGTAGCAGCAGGCACTTGAAATACTGAATTTTATATAGCTACCACTGAATTTTATATCACTTCCCAGTGACTATGCAATATGAGAAATTTTAAAGCAGAAAAATTACATTTAATAATAGGACTTTAGTTCATATGGAAGTGGGTGTGATGGTGTTAAGACTATGTGGCTCAGCCCTGGCCTGTTTGGCTCCGCGGTTAGAGCATCAGCCCGTGGCCCAGAGAGGCCTGGGTTCGGTTCCCACTAAGGGCACGTACCTTGGTTGCAGCTTGTCCCCAGCCCTGGTTGGGTTGTGCGGGTGGCAACCACTCTATGTGTCCCTTTCACATCAATGTTTCTCTCTCTCTCCCCCTCCCACTCTATCTGAACAAAAAATGGAAAAATGTCCTCGGGTGAGGATAAAAAAAAGATAGATAGATTATGTGGCTCAACCCCTAAAACAAAAGTCCTAAACTTCATTTAAAGTAATTTGGTATTAAATGTTTGTTTTGTTCTGAGAGGATATCAAAAGTCTGCTTATGAGAGTAATTATTCCAACATCACCTTTTGGTTCGGGATGACTTGTTCAATCTTTATAAACATATTTAAAAGATCTTCCTTTTAAAGCACTTTCCTCAAATGAGAATATGGAAGGAGTTTGAAAAAGATCTTTAAGTGCTTATCTCATATATATGAAGAACCCTTTCCTTAAGTTTTAGCCCACTATAATACTAAAAATATATGAGGGGAAATGTACTTTGTTCCTTCATGGCAAAGAAAAAACAAAGTAATTTTTGTTTTGGCATAATCTGTGGTTACCAGCACAGGTGATCATTTTGCTTTAAAAAGCTATAGAATTGATGCTTTAAATGGTTAATCGGCAGATTTATTTCTATCAAAGTACTTAAGTGTTGACTCCCAAACAACAAAAATTTCCTTTTCCTTCACTATTGATAGCCTTAGTTTCTGTAGTTAACCAGGCTGTGTGATACAACTGTGCCCTTCCCTGACCTTGGACTACTCTTCTACAGGAGAGTAGGTACCCTTAAGGTGGATCATTAGTTCATAGCCTTGCTGAAGCTCAATGGCAGTTCCTGAAGTCCCTGACACATTTTCTTTAAGTTATTAGTTAGGCAGGCAGTTGGCTCCACGAAGATGATAAAAGGTGCCCTAACAGCCCAAACTAATTTGTAGAGGTTCTACTGGTTCAGAATTTTGTATGAATTTGGAGAGTTAAAATCTCTTCTAAAATCTTCAAAGTGGGATTTATAAACCTAAGCTTCATTTTAGAAAAGACCCAAGTTCCTGGCTAACCATTCACTCTTCTAGTCTCTTACTGTCCTCTTGTACACCTGAGAGTATAGTACTGAATGTTTGGCACCTTCTTTCTCATACCAGCTTTCTTTACATGATCCCAGCACGTGGACTAGGTTAGGTGCTCTGCCTGCTCTTTTTAACTGAATAGAGGGGGAGGAAAGACCTGTAAGCCCATTAACATTATTTTATCAAAGACTGCAAAGCCACATGCTCTTTGCAGAGAAGCACCAAAAGAACACCTTAATTTGGAATTACTCATTTTAAATAAAAATAGTAACTGAATAGTCCCTTACTCAAGGAAGAGAAAGACAGTTTAAAGCTAGTACATTAGGGTTAAGTTTCCCCCTTGAATTAATGTTAAATGGCTCTTACTAGGACTTCCTGCAAGTTTCCCACCAGCCAGGTTTTAGGAGACAGATTACATGTCTGCCTGAGAAGATGCCTGAAAGAGACAGAGAAGCATTTGTTAATAGATGGAATGCTGCAGAGGAAGAAATGACAACAAACATTTTAGAACTAAAATGACTTGATCAATTTTCTCTGACACAAATACATGGACTCCCTGCTCTTGGCATACCTGGATTTTATCCTTGACCTTCTTTTTGTCTGCAGTGAATTCTAATCTGGAAAATCTGAGTTAAGCACCACAGTTTGATTGGTGAGGCAATTTCAGAGACAGTAATGGTCCAGTTGTTCTCTAAAGTGGGTACCAACCCCCTATGCTTTCTCAGCCCCTTCCTATCATTCCCTGTTTGACTTTTCTAGAGATCAGAAGAAAAGTTGTACTATTAAGTTTCCAGGCAGGTTATCCTCAACTATCCCCCAGCCCTCTGTGGGAAAGGGAAGTGCAGGGAGTTATCAGTAACTGGGTTTCAAGGCACTGGTGCTGTCAGTAGTTGCTTGGAGATGGAGTACCACATGAGCTGAGAAGAGCCATAAGTGTAGACGTACCCACACAAAAAGTAGGTATAGGTAAGCTTTGCTACTGTTGCCTGTGGGCAGTGGGGAAGGGGCTACCGGAGAAACCGGAGCTTAGGGTCTCCGAAGATCCTAGTCTTCAGCAGGCAGCAGGGTGAGACAGTAATGGACTCCCCCCGCCCCGCAAGCTTCTTCCTGGCATTGGTAGCGTCTCCCATTTTTTAGTATCGGGCTTCTCCTAGCTTCTTATTTGTTTTAATAACTCTTGGCTCAAGCACTGGGATCTGAGGAGAGAGGTTCTCTTGGGTTATTCTACTTACCAGGCTAATCCCAGTCATGTCAACACTCCGAGGTGCCATTGGTATGTTGTCAGGGATGAGGGTGCAACCAGCCAACATGTCCACAGAGGCTAAGATAGAGTCATACAGGTGATCTGCGTGGCTCTCCAGCTCGCTGGGCTGCTTTGAGATCCTCCTGAGGACATCCTTTAACACTGACAAAACAATTAGGCCAAAAAATTCATGTGAGTTATTTTCAAAATAACATACAATGGTGTAGCTTACACAAAACAGGAACATGGCACTAGTCTGAAATGTCCACTCTTAACAGGAACTCCAGGAAATGCTACTGCACTTGTGGGTCTATGTTAACTTCTGATTAAAGCTGAGAACAATTTCTCTGGCTCCTCTTTGGAATTATGTAATTCCCCAAAAGGTGGAGACTGCTGCCTGGTATTATGTGATTGTTAGAGATAAGACACAAGGCACACCTAGATCTTGTGGCGCAGAAGGCTTAAATGAATAAAAGCAAAATATGCCCAGATTAGGGCTAGGGTCCTACCAGCTTCTGTTGGCTGGGGGACTGTCACTGAGCATGTGTATGGTTAGGCTGGTAAAATTTGGAATGCTCATGAACCTGTGTGTATCCTAAATGAATAAACTCCAAAAGAATAAAAGCAGGCAAATAAAAGATGGTTGGTTAAGGCCAAGATTCCCTCCTACAGGCCAAGTGTTCATTTGATAATGGGATGGGCTAGGTTCAGAGTGCATCCCACACAGCAGGCTTTTTTTTCTCTCAAAAAATTTATTTTGTTAAACAGAAGGGCTGCTTTAGCTTCCTGTACCTTTATCAGCTGTGTTAACACTCTCCCTAGTTTCCTGCCAAAGCTGCAACATCTGCCAGCAGCGGAAGGGAAAGGGGAAGCTGCGTATCTGCAGAGGATGCTGACGGGTGGGCAGAAGCACAGGCTGGCTGTGTTGAGATCAGCCCCAAGGGAAGCCACATCAGTGCACAGTCATCAGAGCAAAGTGCTGTCCTGACAACTCATGAGAGCTGTGAGGGCAAGGCATGGCAGAGGACTGCACCAGCTGGCCTGCAAGGGCACCTGGGATGGGCTCCTTCCACGTTCACCAGACCTTTGCTCAGTCTCCTGTGTGCTATCAGTGGAATTCAGAGGACCTTTATTTTTTTGAACTTCTATTTTAGGATATTAGAATGGTTGGTTGGAGTCTAGGAAATCTGGGAATGGGAATAAAATCTTTCCCAGTGAGATTTTATGTTTCAATTGTACCGGGGCCTGGTTCAGCTTGCTGCCAGTGGGTTCCAGCCACTTCATCCAGTATAACGAGTTCGGTATAAGACAGCACTGTGGTGAAAACCTGCCAGAATCCCGTGGGGAGGCCTTTGGCAGGAGGCTGAGGTCGGGACATTTTGGAGGGGAAAGTAATTTGGCTTCCCATCCCCAACGTTATACTGTGGCAGAGGAAGAAAGCAGGCTCTGGAGTGGCTGGGGAGGAGTCTGCTTGGACTCGGTCAGTGTTCTCTGAGAGAACAGTCGTGCTCGAGCTAGGAAGACCCCATGAACATCAAGGGGACTAGTGATTTCCACAAAACAGTCACGTTCCTGATTATGCCAATCAGGATGGGGAGGGGCAGAGTGTCAATCTGGATACATATGTGAAAACCACTGAAACCCCAAAAGCCTCTTTGGCAGTGAAATACCTCTAGACTCCTTTGAGAGAAAGGCAAAATGGGACGTTTTTAGTATAAATTAAGCACTGAAGTTTTACTGAATCGATTTTTAAATGAAGGTCAAAGAACCTGTAGCTTTTAAGAGACCCATTGTTACATGTGGCCTCTGGGAAGTTTCCTGGTATTTAGTCCCTTCCCTTCCCGTTCAGGCCCCTGTACCCTTAGATAATGACAACAGCACAGGAGCCAGCATATGGGGCTGGAGCCAGGTTGCTATTCCTTGTGTGACCCAAGGCAAAGCCACCACTCCACTGAGCTGAGAGTAATACTAGTATCCACCTCACAGGGCCGTGATTAAACGGAGAAAAAATTGATATGTCAACTGCTTCAGCAGTGTCTGGCACAGTGTTCAGTAAAATGCTGCTGTGATTACAGGTAGCAAAGAGCTTAGCATACTAAATTTCTGTCCCAATCAAAACCAAAAAAAAACCCTCCAGTGTAAGAGAACAGCAGAAGAGCCAAAACAAAGGCCTCCCAAGGGCAGGTGACTGCAAAGTCTCACGTTAAGTCACTGGATAAGCACTAGCCCTTGGAAATCCCTGCAGAGGCTCCATAGCGCCTTCAGATCTCAACCCTGGTGATTTTTCTTCCTAGAGGGCATTTGGCAATGTCTGGAGGTATTTTAGGTTGTCACAAATGGGGAAGGTGCTACAGGCATCTAATGGGTAGAAGCCAGGGATGCTGCTAAACATTCTGCCATGCACAGAATCTCCCCCCGCCCCAAAGAAAGAATTATGTGGCCCACTATGTTGATAGTGTGAGGTTGAGAAACTGCTCATATCACCTCCTTAACATGCACCTGCCCACTATTTCTGGTCAGGAAAGTGCAACCTGACTGTCTCTCAAGTCAGCAGGTCCTGCCCAGCTTTGCTTGTTATTTGCTTCTAGCATAAAGCTCACCTCCACATCCGAGGCGCAGTATGGCTAGGCCTTTATAGCACTTGGACATTTAGTCTTACAGAAAATTAGGGGCTGCTGGGTGCACCACTTCATAGCTTTAACCTAGCATTCTCCTAGCTCATCACATCACACCTGCCCCCAGCAAGGGCAACACGATTGTAAATCCTTGCACTGTACTACATGCTTTAATGTACTCTTAAAACTTAGTGATTTTTTACATTTTCTGACCTTGGAAACCCACCCTACAAAACAGCCTGTCGTTTGTGCACCACTGTCCGCCCTGTTCCCCTTCACCAGTCCACTTCTTCCTTCATTCTACTCCCTCAGAATAGACTGACTACTCTTAAATCCTGAAATTCTTCCCCAAAGCAGATAACCAGAGTTCTGCCTGCACTGGGAAAGGAGGGGAAGCCCTGAGGGCTCCCCATTGTGAACACCCTAGCCAAAACCAAGGGCAGCTGGATTAAAACCGTCATTCCCACTAGGACACCAGGAAAAGATAAAAGCGGAAGCAAGTGTTGTTCTTACAAGATTGACACCTAACTTGTATCGGGCTTGCCATTGTGACTGTGATTGCCTCCTGGTGCAGTGATGATGTCGGAGGCCAGCAGTCACAGGAATCCAAGGCAACTAGCTGCATGTGGGAGGGGCTCTAGCACTACTGGCTCCTTACCAGTGAGTGTGTGGGTCCCTGGATCTGCTGCTGACAGGCTGGCTAAATTCAAAGTCTCAAGCATCTCACCTGGGGTGTTATCCAACAGGCACTGAAGAAGAATCTCCCCTTTCTGTAAGACATTCTCCGCCAAGGACTGGTGTTCATCTATATCTTTCTTAAATTGCTTATAGCATATCAGAAAAAAGAAAAAAACTTCATTACTATCATTTTATAAATGATTCCTTGTAAGGTAGTTTGATTCCCCTCTAACCTAGAATGTAAACCCACCAGTCTTCAGGGTTCTCCAGGTACACAGTGTAATAGTTTAACTTCACCTCTGTGAAGCCCAAGGTAAATACAAAGTCAGTACTTTTTTTCTGTTTATACTTTGACAAAAGAAGTGTTCTCTTTTCCTTGGCAGAGCCTGGTTTATCAACAGCATGGAGTCAGGGCTTCCTTCTTATACCACACCTCACAGGGTAGGTTCTCTTTAAAGTCACAGGGCAACAGACTCTTAAAAACACAGTCTTCTATTCTACTGGAACTGGCAAGTAAGAACCACTAGAGATGCTGTTAACATGACCACTCGGGGACTGCTGCCTCTACCGTGTCCTCCCTCAACGTCCTATTCTGTGTGGACCTTGGGCCTTGGGAAGGCACCAAGGAAGTTGTGAGTCTCCTAAGCAGCTCATCTGTTTTCCCCTCACAGGTACCAACCCTACTAATTGATTGGTTTTGATATTCCTTTAGCCACTAAGTGTAAAAGTCACGTGTATGACCACTTTTAGTACGGGGTGCAAAACTTGGTTCACATTCTGAAGTTATAATTTTTCTCTTGGATTTACTATATTTCTGTCTGCAGCTCTAATACCTATGCTTATTATTTATTTTTTAGCTACTATCAATAGTTTACATGCTGCTACAAACCCACTGTGTTAGTAAGACAAAAGTATACGAGACAGAGTCCAGTTAAAGTATATGAATACAGCCCTGGCCAATTTGGTTCAGTGGTTAGAATGTTGGCCTGCAGACCAATGAATCACGGGTTCGATTCCAATCAAGGGCACATACCTCAGTTGCAGTTTGTCCCTGGTCCTGGCGAGGTCGTGCGGGAGGCAGTCAGTGTGTCCCTCTCCCATTCATTTTTCTCTCTCCCTCCCTCCCTCCCTATCTGAAGATAAATAGAAAAATATCCTCTAGTGAGGTTTATAAAATAAAGTACCCACACTCATGCTTATGTTAAGTGTCTCAGCATGGGTCAAAGGTAGCTCATACATATGCACGAGCCATGCACCATTCTGTGTGGTCCCACAGTTGTGTGGGTGACACGAGGGCTAGGTTTCACTGAGCTGCAGATATAACTCCCAGCTCAGATCTTAGCTCTACTCACAAAGCAAGATAGTCGCTTCTGGTTAGCCTGCAAGTTGAGGCACCAGACTTAAAAGGGACACAATAGAGGCAATGGAATTGTCTTATTTGGCATCTGCTCTGATGGGGCTGGGGTACTCTGGAAAGGCCACCCAGGTAAACCTAACAAGGACAATTTCCTCTCCCCACAGTGTTATTGCCCCTGGGCCATTTGGGGGTGGGCCCAGCACACGGAGGACCCTCATACTCAGCCTTCCTCAGTACTCTGGGCAAGAACTCCCACACAGCAAGAAACAGCATTCCCAGTAGTGTAGGGCAGCTAGCCCACCCAGGCATGGCTCCTCCTATTTTACTTAGCTCCGAGTTGGAAAACAAAGGCCCTCCATCCTGCCTGGGTGTGGTGTGAGCTCTAGGCTCAGCCCAGCTTGGTATGGCCCCTGGCTAAGTAAGTCATGCCCTCTTTTGGGGAAGGCACTCGGTCAGGTTATAATGTGGGAGAAATTCAAAGAACTGTCCCAGAAAAACTCTTCCTAGACTATCATCTGGCTCAGACCACAAATACCCCTGCTCCTCCATTAGATATTATAAAGGTTTGGCCAACCAGACATGCTAGAAGCCATGGGTAGTTCAGTCAAAGTTAATGTTATGTTTAGGATAACTGTAATTTATCATCCAATTCAGAATACTTCTGGGAATGAAGGGGGACCTATTGATAATTAGGCCAGAAAAGCAGGCACAAACTGTCACCTAAATATATTTGATCCAAAGTTGTAATCAGAACCATAATTAAAGAGATTTTTAAAGTTAAACGAAACCTCAATTTTTTTTTTGAAAAAGAGGCAAAACCCCTCAAAACAAAACACACTGAGTAGCAAACTGAGTCGTATCTTTGTTTAAATGTCATCAAAATGTCCTGAGTATATTCTGAAGTCAGTACAATTTTAGCTCAAATACTTATATACCAGTCTGTGCTACCAAACACAAACTCTGTGGTAATGGAAATGTCTCTCTGCACTGTGGCCACCAAATGAATATGTGATCGGACACTTGGGATGTAGCTAGTGCAACTAAGAAATCTGTATCTTTAATCTTACTTTAATAAGCCATATTAACAGTTCAGATGTATGCTTATTAATCCCTGGGACATTTGGAAAATTACAATGGAAATTGCCCTTAAGTATTTTCTTCAAACTCTATTTGGCCTAGGAAATAACTGATACATTTTAGTTTTTCGGCATTAAGAATTTGAAAAGGACCTATGTATGATTAGATTTCAGGTAAGAGTCAACTGAACCCAATGTACTGAGCATCAATCATTTGAGCTTTTACTTTGTTATCAAGTGGTTTAGCCCCCCCTTTCGTGAGAGGACAGCCAGAAGCCAGGACCACATATTACCCGGTAAAGCTGCAGAGAAGACTTGAGACCTGTAAGGCTGGACTTGGGTGGAGTCAAGTGGTCGGTAACATCTGCTATGTTATACAGCCAGTGGATCAGCTCGTCTAGCTGACAGCAAAATGTCTGTGTAGACAAATAAGACACATGCTGTTTACATTTTGAAAAGGCTAAAAATATCCAGGGGATTCGGAAATGGACTGTGCACCTTTCCAGAGCATTCCTTCACTTGAGGCTTTAGTCTCCTCTGTCCTTCCCTGTCTCCATCCCGTAACTCCAGACCTCTGCCAGGGCCCCAGGAACAGCCCCACCTTGGTTCTGTGTTCCTTCAGGCTGACGTGATACCAAAACTGACAGGCTGAGAAAAGCCAGCTCCGAACAGGGAACAAAGCCGAACAGGCGAAGGCAGGAAGGGGAACAGCTCAAAAGAGGCATGCCTGCCACAGATACCAGTTCTTGGGTCAGCACCCCTGCTAACCGTCTGTTCCTGGGAAATAATGTGGACATAAAATAAATGACTGATCATGACTACCCTGAATGTATGGCTGACACCTGAATGAAAGCTGCATGTCCATTCTGCTTCCACACTGCTCAGGGAGCAGGGCCCCTAGACTCCGCCAGCTACTCACCCTATGGAGGCCGTCAGCCAAGCACTTTACTTCCCCATTCCTTTATCTTGTATCACAGAGGATACGTGCTAACATTTGTTCTACCTGCTTCACAGTACAAGTGAAATCTGGCATGGGAAATCACGCAGGGTAAAGCCCTCCTCGAGCACTAGGAACCATCTGCAGCATCAGCTCATGGGTACGCGGCCCTCTGGCCGGCTGCCCTGCTGCGGTGCAGATGCGGTCTCCATGTGCGCACCTGTGTTTTTCCCAGCATGCGTGAAAACAGCCACACATACCAGTGTCAGGGACTGTACGAAGCCCTTGATATGAATGATTTCATTTAATCCACCCAACACCCCATAGTGGTACATATCATTTTAGAAAACAAGCAAACTCAAGAGACTGAGTTGAATTCCAAAGACAGCAGTGCCGTGATTCAAATTCATATCAGCCTGATACTGACAACTGTGTTCCCTGTAGTATTAATTTTATCTCCAGATAAAATGGGTGGTCGTGAGAGAAGGCTCAGTGGCCAAGAAGTCTAAGAAATGGTACTTCTAATAGCCCCTAACTCTGCAGTTCCACCACTTTTTTATTAAAAGTTGAAGCTCTGAGAAGTCCTGCAGTCGAGAGAGCACTTGCTTTGTTTAGCCCGGTGCTTCCTAACAGCATCTGAGCAGACCCTTCTTGTACAGAGACCTCTGAATCTTCAAGGTCAAGAGCCTTAGGAATCAGCCTGGGGTAGTGGTTAAGAGCTCAGGTTCCAGCCCTTGCTAACTACTAAGTGGACATGTTGTCTAACCCCTTGCTGCCATCTTCTCTAACTGGAATGAGAACCATAGTCCTTACTGGGTAGAGTGCCTGGCACACGAAACAAGCTCAGTGCTACGTTTTATTATACTAGTGGGCTAGGGGAAGGAATGAGATACCTCTACACAAGACTCTTACAATGTTGACTTTACCTTCACACACTGCACGAGTGATTCTTTTCCCTGCTCTCTTCCTCTCCCAAGAGGCTGCCCTTTGGGATCTGGGTCCGAGAATGCCTGCTGGTCCAAAATAACTGGCAAAGAGGAGCGTGTTCTCAGAGGTCCAGAGGAGACCCCCAGTGCCTGGTTGCTCCCCAGACTGCCGTCCCCTGCAGAGTCCCTTGCACAGAGAAAGGAGCGTAGCAAACAATGGTTCTGCCTCTCAAGCCCCCCAGACCTTCTGAGGGCAGCTCCAGATGGAAGCTGGCTTTGGCTAGAGTCCGACGGGAGTGAAGTGGGCACATCACTGTCTGACACATCCACGGAGCTCTGCCCTTCAGCAGCCCCAGCAGGCAGGGTCACCAAAGTGGGAATGGAACCTAGGTATGAAGCCAAGCTAGAAACTTGCGTTAGCCGAGTGGGCAGGGCAAGGTACTCATCGTCACTTTCCAACTCTTCTTCTGGTTTCCACCCAGACTCCATGCAGGCAGGGCGCTGGCTGCCTTGGCTTGCCCACTTCTCTCTTTCTGGCCCGGATGAGGACCATCCTCTGTCCCATGTCCTCAGCTGGGGAGGGCCTACCTCGAGGTGCTTGCCCACAGGCCGCCAGTCCTTCACGTCCCTCAAGGGTGGCTCTCTACTTTCCCAAGGGGTGTCTTTACTGCCTTTGGCCCTGGGAGTAGATATGAGCTGGCTACAAGAGGCCAACCCCACACTGCCCTGCTCCTGGGGTACTCCAGAGTGCCACCGTTTAAGGCTTGGCTCTATGGGCCCGGAGAATGGCAGGGCAGTGGCCTCTGCTGGTGGGCAACTGTGGGAAACATTAGTGGGTGACTTTAGCGTGCTTGCTGGGGAGACAGAAAAACTATCCAGGTCTATACCTGAGTCCTGCAGGACAGGGTCAGCCAACACCTGGCTGTCAAGGTGCTTTGGGAGCCGAGGCCTGGGCCTAAGTGGGTAAGTATAGTCCAGCAGGTCTTCGTACTCTTTATTCGGGTTCCACAGCGGGGAGTGGCGGTCAGGGGACGGTGGCAGGGAATCTGGCAACACACAGGCCCAGTACTCAGCTTGGAAGGAGAGGCGCCTCCTGCCCAGCCCAGGAGCATCACCCCCAGAGGACACAGGCTGTGGAGACCACTGGAGCTGAGGCCCAGGTCCCACCACAGAGGGGGCCGACTGGGGGCCGACCAGCTCCAGGGAGGATGAGACCTTGGCAAGAGAGCAACTTGAAGGCTCCACCTTCTCTTGGTGACTCTGGAAACTGCTGCCAGGGGATGAGGCAGAGACACTGCAGCCGGAAAATGGAGGAGCAGTGGCACCTGGGCTCCCCATGGACCTCCACTTTGACGAGAAAGGGAAACCTGAGATGTGACGCTGTTGGCTGAGGTCCAGCACCCGCGGAGACTCAACTGGGGATGGCTCATCTTCGGTATCAGCATCATGTCCTGAGCAAAGAGCTGTGGCTCTGGGAACAGTGACAGTCTGAGGTAGTTCCTCTGACAGAGAAAGCCTGGTGTCTTCCATCTGCAAGGGTAAGAGGGAAGAAAAAGGGAAAATAAGTAAACTAAATTTATTTCTTAGATGACAAATTTGAAGTTTTCTTTGGGGAGCCCAGATGATATTCAGAAGGGGTCTTGACATGAAGAGTCTGCTACCTGATGCACGAACCAGAGCTGCCAGTGGCAGGGTGGAGTCTCCAGTCCGCTCGGGAAGCAGACTGTCTTCCCCAAGCTGAGGCCACCCTCAGTCCTTTCAAGTTCTTCCTCCACAGATACCCTTGCCTGTGAGCAGAACTCGGAGTATTCTAGCATGAGGAAGGTGGAACACACTGCCTCGCCTTCTGGAACCATGAACTAGGTGGACGAAACCTCAATCAGTCACTGACAGGAGCCATCCAAACCCACTCAGCTCAGCTCGCATGCCAGTGGCAACTGAACAATGGCAAAATGAGCCATTAGTCTCAGCCTTTTCACTTTGAGTTTTCAATCTGCTTGATGAAGAACTTGCCCAAGGGAGGCCAACAGCACAGTGGTTAAGGCCATGGGCTTTGGACCCCGACAGACCTGGTGCAAACCCCTACGTGCCACCTTCCAGATGACTTTGAGCCTGCTTCCCACACCTGTAAAATGGAGATAGTAATAGTACCACTTCCTCAGGTCACGAGGATTAAATGAGCTCGTGTGTGAAAAGCACAGAGTGAACGCTCCACACACAATAGGAGTTACAATAAGCACCCGACTCATATCACGAAACAGCCCACTTGGCTTATTTGCTTCCTGCCTCACTGAATCTGACTCACAGGTTCCCGGAGCCTCCCACTGCTCTGGCTCCCAGGCAGGTGGGGCCAGCTTCTGTTTTCTCCCATAGTCACGCTCAGAGGTTCCATGCAGGATGGGGCTCCATAGGGGCAGCATGCAACAGCCAAGGCCACAACGACACAGAAGATCAAAGCCATTCCCATGAAAGGCCTTGGCAAGCAGAACATAATAGGACATCAGAGCTGGGAGGGACAGGTCCTGCAGGTCACCTTCCCAATTATATTAAAGGGCCTGAAAGATTTGGTGATTTGCCTGAGGTCACAGGCAGGACTCCCTGCTCCATTTGACTCCCACAAGGCAAGGCTGCCCTGCAGAGGGCCCAAGAAATTCTCCTTGCCCAGCAACAGTGCTGCCCACCGCAGGGGCTCCACGGCTTTGCCAGGTTTCCTGGGTTCCCAGGACATACAGTCTCAAAGCCCTCAAGAGACCACAGCCCTGGGCCCTCCTTCCCCAAATCAGAACAGGGCATGGTTCCCCCTTTCAAACTTTCCTGGCCTAGCCTTCTGCTTAGCAGGTGTTGGTCATAGCATCCCTGGCTCTTAGAAGGTCACCAGTCTCTTAAGGAACAGGAGATACTATGGACAGAGAGCCCCCTCTGACCCCAAAGCCCAATTGTCCAGATGAACCTGTAAAACAGAAATCGCCACACCCAGGCTCCCCCAGTGCCCCACCTTGCACAGGGACAGAGACAGCGTGTAAGATGGTAATGAAATGCTGGAACACCCTCCCAAAAGACAGCATTAGGTAAATCTACAGTCCCATTGACCTTAGTAGTTACCTGGCTTTCCACAGAATGCAGATCTCCAGTCCCCACACTGGCAGGAGGAAGCAGGCAACTGAGAGCAGGCTGAGATGTACCAGCTACCGGCTCCCTGCTGGTGTTGCTGGACCATGACTGGCAGGCTCCAGAGGGGTGGCAGGCAGGGGCAGGAAGGCCCTCTGCCCCCAACACAGGGGAGGCAGGCCCTCCTTCAACTTCCAGGCATGGTGGCTGCTCCTCACTCACAGGCCCTGAGGTGTCCACCTCCTGCTCCCTGCAGCTCCACCTCCCACAGGATGGGGCCTTTGTGTTCGTGGATGCCTCCACCTCTGCCTTTTCTTCTCCCAGGGCCATTGACACGCCCCTAAGTCCGAATTTCCTTAAGTCCTCAGCTTCCTATAAACTGGGAAAGGGAGACAAAAAGATAAATTTTCTACATCTGTGTCCAAGGCAACCTTGCTTTTTAATAATTAAGAAAAACATCTTTTGGGGGTGGAGGGGCAAAGGAAAACAAATGATGGCTACTCCACTCCTTCAGAGAACAGAGGTCCAGGTCCAGCTTTTCCTTGGCCCCCAAACCCTTCCAAAGGGAAGGCAGGAGCACAATCTTTTGTCCTCTGCTTCTATGTGGCCTGCACCAGTCCCAGCAGCAAGTACCCAGGAGGGTCAATGCAGGTCCAAATCAGAGTCAAGGCTTGGTCCTCACTAAAGTCACCTTTTCGTCCCAGTCTCTTCAGCCCAGCCCCACTGGGTAAGAGGCTGGGCTGCACCAGCCCAGCTGTGGATCTTGTTGAAACGCCCATCAGCAGGCGACTCTGGCCTGGCTCTGACCGCTCTGTTCTGCAGAGGAGCATGTCAGGGCATGCCCAGGCCTCGGCTGAACCCAAGGTGTTCCCACAGTGGCCAGTCTGCTCTGTGGAGAAAACAGGAGCCCCTCAAAGCACAGAAACCATGCCCTAGGTCATGGAGCAGGTTGTGAAAAAAGAGAGAAATACACTGGGCAGAAGGCAGGCTGGGAGGGAAGGAGGAACAATTTAGGAGGCGGATCTGAAAACAGGATGGCTGCAGTAAGAGCTGTGGGAACAGAGGGAGACCCTCTAGGCCTGCGTGTGCAGGCAAGGGCTGCTGCTGGGACACAACTCCAGGAGGAACTGGAAGGGGAGGCGAGGGACCCTTCAGCACCCAGGATTCCAGCAGCTGCCTGAAGTACAGAGGGCCAACCCCGAAGCTAAAACCTGGACACAAATAGCCCTGTTTCCTCAGAGATCAGGAGGTGAGTGATGGCAAACAGGTGGCAGCAGGGAGGTCTGAGAAAGTGGAGGAGCCTGTGGACATGGGCTCACCCTGCTCGGCTCGTGTGAGGACAGCTCTCTGGAGACTGCCCGTACCAGAGGGTCCTGCCATGCCTGCCTGGGCACTTGAGGCTCCAGACCAATTCAGAGACCACCCTAAAGGAGAGCACATACTTCACATGTACTCTCATTTATGTCTCACAACCACCATATGTGGCAGAAACCAATCAGAAAACCTAATTTTTTTTTAACAAGTTCAATATATGGCTAAAATACAAAATGTACTTTAGATCAAGTATCCCTCTGCCCTTGTCCGTTTCTCCCTAAAATGAGCTAGTGCATCACATGACTGGGGGCATCACAACAGTGCCTGGCACAGTGTCAGCTAATGCCATCACTGTCATGGAGGCTGTGTGTGAGACAGAGGCAGTGTAATAAGTTACAAGGAACAAAGTCCAAAGGAGAAAAAGCAGCCTATTTCATATAAATCAAGCAAAATATTTATTACTAGATACTCCCACAAAAAACAGGTTGCCTCATTAATTTTGTGTATGTCTCTCATCTGATGCATATGCAGACAAACAAAAATATATTTCATCCTTCTCCCTCTTTTCACATAAAAATAGCAAACTGTATAGGACACGCTGTTCAGAACTTTGCTTTTCTTTCTTTTTAAACAAAATATCTTGGAGACTGTTCCTTAGCAATAGAGACAGCTTCCTCTTTCTTTGTATCACGGCTCAGTACTGTGTTCCACCATAGGACTGCACTCTAGTTAACTTCACCAGTCCCTTACTAGTGGGTATTTGGGTTATTTTCAGTCTTTCACAGTTACAAACAATGTTGAGATGAACAGCCATGAACACATACTATCTGCACACATGCTAGTACACCCACAGCCTAAACAGCCAGAAGTAGAACTGCTGTGGCGAAGGGTACCTGCATGTAAACTTCTGGCAGATGCTGGCCAAGTGGCCCTCTATGGGGTGGCATCCATTTACACTCCCACTGGCAGCATGTGAGGGTGCAAGTTTCCCATGGGAGGCAGGTCCTCTTATCCTCATTTCACAGCGGGGAGCCAAGGTTGAGAGAGATTCCACTCTACAACTGTATGACTCCAGAACCTAAGCCTTTATGAACCAACTAGGAAACAAGGTACAAAACAGAGGCACACAAAGTAAAAGAGGGAAGGGATTGGTGGAGGGGACAGAGATGAGTGACCAAGTCGTGCTGGGACAGATTTGCAGGGAGCCACATCCTCACCTTGTGGTGATTTAAGAAACTGCACATGAATACATGTATAGGCCGACTGTTTTCACAACTAGAGGGATAAGCTGAGCCCATGAGCTGGAAAAATCAGGATGATGACTGAACCTAGCCCACGGACCCTAGTTTCGATTTCCTGCTCCATTCCTAAACTCACTGGCTGATATTGGGCCCTGGTAGGTGGCAGCTAATCCCCCTTTCACTCCCCTACTCTTCCCTCTACTAAAGGGTGTGGTCCTGCAACAGAGGCTGGAGTAAGAGGATGCTGGGGCAACACAGGGGTGCAAATGAATGATCTGTCTTTGTTTTGATGGGGAATTTTTTTGTCTTGTCTGGATTTCATTATTCAAAATAGAAGGTATCCATTTACCCCTGGGTGGTGGTGAGCTAGAACTATAAAACTATGCAGGAGACATCTCTAGGTAACTTCCAAGTATACATACAAACCTGAACTAGGTAACAGTGTTATTAGAGGCCCTTCAGCAACCAGGTAAGAAGGTCTGAAATTCAATGACTTTCATGGAAATGGCACTTTTTTTTAATCCTCACCCGAGGATATTTTTCTATTTATCTTCAGATAAGAGTGGGAGGGAGAGAGAGGGAAAGGGAGAAAGCGACAAAAACACGGATGTGAGAGGGACACATCAACTAGTTGCCTCCCCCACAACAGCAACCAAGGTCGGGGACAAACTGCAACTGAGACATGTGCCCTTGGCCCGAATTGAACCTGCAACTCATTGGTCCATGGACTGACAGTCTACTGTTGAGCCAAACTGGCCAGGGCTGGAAATGGCACTTCTGAAAAGACAGATTATAGGCAGTTATTTTCTCAGTCTGGATAAGTACTCCTTTCATAATCTCACTTATTAATTGCCTGACAAATCCTGTGTTTTCCCTTGCACTACACAAGTTTATTATGAGAACAGACACATGTGAAAGAAAAGAATAAAAAGAAGTCCATCATTCTGATTTGTATATAAGATGCTACAGAATACAAACAAAAGGGAGAAGTCAACTGGGGTAGAGATAATCAGGGAAAACTCCTTGAAGTAATGACTGCTGAAGGCAGACAATTTTTCAAACATCAATCAGCCTACTCGGAGTGGCTCAGTTGGCTGAGCACCTGTGCATGGAAAGAAAGGCTGCAGGTTTGATTCCCAGTCAGGGCACATATCTGGGTGGCAGGTTCAATCCCCAGTCAGGGCACATACAAAAGGCAGCTGATTGGTGTTTCTCTCTCACATTGATGCTTCTCTCTCTCCCTCTCCCTTTCTCTCTAAGCACGTCCTCGGGTGAGGATTAAACAAACAACAACAACAAAAAACTAATTATGTTGAAGAAACAGTCGCCAAGCAAATGCACAACTTACCAGGTGGGCATCTGTAATACTGCATGAAGGTCCAGCCCTCATTTCCAGATTCTAGATTTTACACATCATTCTTTCTGACAATCTGGGATGAGGTTTGAGGTGTGGGATTCTGCTTGGGTCCTTCCAAAGACAGTTTACTCCTTTTCAAAGCACCTGATGGTGCTCAAACTGATGAAAATGACTTGCTAGGCTGGGCCAACACTGTCCCAAGTTAGTAGCTTTAAACCTACTACTCTGTGTGGGGTTTCCCTGCTCTTAGATCACACATTTTACAGTGTTCTTGGTGGTTAGCAGCTCCATGGTGGGCAGAGGCCTCAGGTGGCCTTCTAACAGAGAAGCACCAGTAGGTAGGACTGAGTGACTGGAGGCCTCAGAGCACAGACAATGAACAATTCAACCCTCCCATCTCAGAAAGGTCTGTACACACCTTATCTGCCCTGTCCTTGGCCAAACCAAGAGACAAGCCACACAAGGATATTCTGGGGACCACCTGCCCTTTGCTATTAAAATTCTCCATCAGTTTCCAGGATTTGTAGAAGTGGTGCAACCTACCAGATATAATTAGGAGTGATGTAGTCTTGCTTGGCTTACTCCTGTCCTACAGTAAAAATATGCTCACACATCACGTATGTGGTAACACTAACTCCGTAAGCCCGGACAGCTGACCCTTCCTGGTGTCTGCTGCACCACCCTCATGCAGTCCTGTCACAGTGGCCAGGGCGTCCTCCCACTTGCTGCGATCCAGGATGGAGAAAGAAGGACTGGGAACTAGGGGGGAAGGATGATGTTCCTCTCTTCACTAAACCACTCAAATTCTCCGATCGAAAAAGGACTTTCCTAGGGTTCTTTAAATCATGAGCTCCCTTGGAAACAATGTGATTTATACCAACTTTGTCTGGGAAGGGCCATCTCTGTACCTGAGTGCAGACAGCCACCTGTACCAGCCAGAGTGAGGTGTCACTTGACACAGCAAGCTCTACCAGTTCAGGGGCCAAAGCCCTGACACTCCTTATCTTTGCAGGAGGCTACAGGTGTAAGTGGCAAATGTCACGCATACACTGGGGCAGAATCTGACCACAGAACCAGACAAAGAGGCTCTCAGTGCTGCCCTTTCTCTAAGAACATGAAACTGCCTACAACAAAAGGGGGGAGAGGTGGGGTAGAACCCAGCACTGTAGGTTGCTGGAAGGAGTCTGGGGGAACTAGATTGATGGGAGAAAGGAGCTTAAAGGCAAAAGCCCATCTATGCGTGGGAGGCAGCATGAAAGGGGGTAAAGACATATGTGGAGGAGGCCAACAAAAGGGGCAGTCATAAGAGGCCCAGGCCTGCCTCAGAGCAGGGGATGCCAGCAATGCTATGGCTGGAGGTTTGAGAATGGGAGGCCAATGGCCAAAAGTGACTGCCATTTCACCTGCTCCTTCTCTGGCTGTAGAAGCTTGAAGCCCCTTAGTCCTGGACAACAGTCCTGTCCTTCCCTGTAAGGCAGGTCACCATGAGTGCTATGTTCCCCTCCTTTACTGGTGAAAGCACAGCAAAGTGAAAAGGAAGAACAGGCTCAAACCTGCAGGGGGGCAGATGTGTCTCCAATGGGCTAATGCCATCCTCAGCATCCTCGTGCACCACCAGTCCCCTTTCCCTAGGGTGCTTCCCCACCTTTTGTTTAGAGTGAAAAAAAAAGGGTCCTTCAGGACCCTAGAAGGAGCCACTGGGTCCTTCCATATCAATGCATTGGGAAGGCTGTTGCCAGGCTGCTCTCCCCTCCCTTACACTCACTCACCCACCCACCCACCAGTTGGCTGACTGGGACCACCGGACAGCCTCACAGCAGGGCCAATCTTCTAATTTGTCATGAGAGGTCTTCGGTTGCCTTTAAAGAGATGTTAACTGCCGCATCTACAAGGAACTTAGGACTGAGCTCCTAGCCATCCCTCCCCTCAACCCCAAGCTCTCAGGCCTCTTCAGTAGTCAGTAGACTGTTCCCATCCAATAAAGCTCAAAGTACAAGGATATTAAGGACTGAACATGTCCATTCCCACCAAAGAGCAAGGCAGAAAAACAGCTTCCCTAGAACAAAAATAGCTCTTACTGTCGCAGGAAGCTGGCCCTGGACCAGTTCCACAGGCCATTGCTTTCACTGTACTGATGGTTTGCTGTGAGCCCATCAGGATACACATATGAAGACTGATAAGAATCTTACTAGTTTTCTCAAGAGAAGCTATGAAGAATGTCACTCAAGTACCAAAACCAAAGCATCCTCTTAGAGAACCCATGAGACAAAAACTCTCTGGTTTCAGTAAGAGAAACAGCTGTTTAACCCAGTAGCCAGTTGGTTTTGATTTTATAGTTATTGGCAAAACTGATTTTTTAAAAAAGTTCCTCTTTGCTTTGACTGCTAGAAAGCTCAGGACCAGATCTATAGTCCCACCCAAACAAAATAAACAAAGAGGCACTCATTTTTTTTTTTTATTGATTTTACTCTTCACCTCCCTTTTCTTTTAATGTATCTGCCTCAATTACTTTTATTAAAAATCCTGTTACACTGATAACATATCTTAGAAAGAGTCCTTAAATTATTTTTGGAACCAAATAGAGAAACTGTTAAAAACAGAATAGGGGAGAAAAGCTCCTAAATCCAAGACTTCATCCCTATACCATAAGAAAACAGTATCTGTTTATCAGTACTTCTAAAAAGCAAATGCAGATACTTGTGTTAGTACCTTTCTACTCACTTTGAGTAAACCACATCTACATCATCGTACAGCTTGTTGGAAATACAGATTCTCAGGCTCCACCTCATACCTTAGAATCTAAATTTTAGCAAGATGTCCAGATGACAGGTAAGCACGTTAGAAAGCCCATTTTAGCACTGTGAAGCAGAACTATAATGGCTTTACACACATTCACTGAGTCAGGCACACAGAAGGAAATGTATGGCCCTGTCCTTAACTGTTTTTCCAATAGGATACTAGAAAAAGCTCACATCTTGTAGCAGATTTTAAATGGCTAATTACAGAATGACATGGCTAAAGGGGAGTCCCCAGAAAGAACAGCATCCCCAAGAAAGGATTAAAGATTCTTTGTGGCTTCAGTAAAAGCAGAATTAGAAATCAGAATTCTCCTGCGATAGTTACAAGTGCAGAGTGGTTTTGTTTTGGAAACTCCAAATAATTTATGAGAAACTGATGTGCGAAGGGGACCTACAGCTGGAAGGAAATGTATAACTTAGCCTGTTTCCTGCAACCAGAAAGTGGTACAGGAAAACCTGGAAGTGAGGCAATATCCCCTAGAGGTTATATAGGCAACCTCTAGGTCTAGCAAATAGATCTAGGGCCAACAGGAAGACTTCTCACACTTTTCACAATGTTTATGAACAACTTTAAAGACAGGAACCAGTTTCTTCATGAGAACAGATCTGTTTTAAGGAGAGAAGCCACCCAAGTCCACCTCCACAAGTTCTGCCTCTCTCTGGCCAAACTAACCATCCTAAAAGAATTTGTGTCAGCCACACAAGGCCCCATTTGATTTACTCTGCTCGTTTTGATTAAGAGGCCACATTTTGAGCATATCCCCTATCGTACTTGCCAAAATGCTATTTCGTACTTCATCAATCTCTAGTGGATAGTGAGACTAAAAGCATAAAGAGTTAATTTTCTAAGAAATAGAGGCATACCTTGAGCTAGTGTAGGTTCAGTTCCAGGTGACAGCAATAAAATGAATATGGCAATAAAGCAAGTTTGTAATCCTTTTGCTTGAAGGGTCTTGCCTTCAATTTGTATAAAACACAACATCTGTGAAGCACAATAAAACAGGATATGCTGTACATACTGTTACTGGGGGAGGTTGGGGTGGGATCTGAAAAGGTTTAAAGTTATTTTTAAAAATCAAGAAACACATAGGACCAAAGGCAGACAGATCCTGAAGGGTCAAGTGCTAAATGAATATTTATTATTAGTGAATCTGTTCAAGTATCTGTTTATTTTTATCCTAACAACTGCTAATAGCTACTGAACATTTCCAATGTGCCAAGAACTACACTAAGCACTTTATGTCAATTATTTTATTGAATCCTCAGAACCCATGGAATAGGTACTATTCTAACTCCCATTTTACAGATGAGGAAACAGGCATAGAAAAGTTTAATCACTTGTAGAGTAACATGGAAGGGCTAAAGTCTTATTTGACTTGAGTGCCAGAGCTCAACTGTCTCTCTACCCTGCAAGAATTGGTCCAAGTTAAAGGAATTAAAGTTTTCGTTTGGCAAACTTTTTGGCTATGCTGCTGATTTTTTGTTTTTCTTTTGGCTTCCTTCAGTCACTGCCTTCTGGGCTCCAGCATTGTGCTAGGGGCTGGGGAAACCACAATAGAGCAGCAGAAGGTAGCCTAAAGGAGGGAGTGATTATTAGTTGTAGGAAGGGAAAAGAGCTTTAAAAAGCTTTCCCAAAGAGGTTAAGCTGAGTACTTTGCTCTTTTCTGTACTAAGTGGCCCAGAATTGATTGATCTAAGTGGTGGAAAAAACAGATATGAGAAGTGGTGACCTCTACTTCTTTCAACCAAGCCCTAGGCCCTTGCCTTCTTGACTGACACTTTGTCATGCATTTTAACAACATTCTTCATACCCTAGATGTAGGAACTGTTAGGATCTTTATGAATGCCAGCTATCTTCAGACCAACTCCCCAATGAATTCCCAGTGAGGTCCAACGTGCTCTGGCAGGTTTCCGCTCATTTTTATTACAAACAATACACTGAACTCAACCCAGCAATTACAAAGGCCCTGAAATAGGTTTAGGACATGTGCCCCTGGGCTGCATACAGCTGTTCTAGAGATGGCAGTTGGAAAGGGTGGCCCTTCTAGGCATAAGAGTGAGCTATCTTGCGTGCCCTCACCCCCCACCCCCGGCAGCCGTGAACAGCTGCACTCAAGGCGACAAGAGAGCATCATTCGTTTTCATCTTTCCGGAGGGAATGACCCCGAGCCGATGAGACAGGCTCTCTGCGTTAGCCTGGGTCAGACTGGTTACTGCCGGGGCGTCTGGGCACCGGTTGGGCGCAGGGTAAACAGGCCACTCCTGCAGCGAGGCCCTGAGGGGCAGTGAGTACCCCGGAGTTAGAGGCCCACCGGCGGCGCGGCTGCGAGTCTGCGTTAGCCGCGCGCGCGCCCCCCCGCCCCGCCTCGCCGCGCTCGGCTTTTCCAAGCCCGGCCTCCCGCCTCTCCGCCCTGACCCCAGCCGCGACCCGCACCCGCCGTTCCGTCTATAAAATGGAGGCGAAGGCACGAAGCGCCCCCGCCCCCAGAAAGCCTTTGTACCCTTCCCGGTGGGGGACGCGAGGCCCCGCGGCCCGCCCGGCCTCGCAGACCCCGAGAGACCTCAGGGCACAGGGGGCCGGGCCGCGCGGGCGGGGACTGCCTGGGCCGCCGCCTCCACAGCCGCAAACCCCCGACACCCGTGGCGGCCAATACCTACCGCGTCTCGAACCCTTCCGACGCCCCAACCAGGCCTGCGGCAGCGTCCGCCGCCCCAGCAGCCCCATGCAGCAGCCCCGAGGCGGGGGGTCCCAGGTGCAAACCGCGGATCTCGCGCGGGAGCCCAAACGCCTGGGGCGGGACCGAGTGCCGACCACGCCCTTCGTACTCGTCCCGCCTCCTGGCGGAGGGCGCCTTTGGGGAGGCATGGCCAATCCCAACCGTCAGTCCAGAGATCAACCAATGCGCGACGCACTTCTGCAAGAAGATCCCACCCCTTGTGGCGTCTTGACGAATGGGAGACCGGATCCTCTTCGGGCTCTTGTCCTCCCTCCCTCCCTACTTCCCTCCCCCGCCTCCCGCGCTCAAGGCTCACGTTCGCTGGTTCCGTGCCAGAGGGGTCGTGCGAGGGCGCGTCGTCTGGCGCGGCGGGAGGGGCAGATGCCACTGGGCGCTCTTTCCCTGCGTGTAGGCCGCGCCCTGAGTCCTGCATTCATTCATTCATTTTGTTCCGGGCGCATGACTTTATTCCCCGCATGCCACTAACCCGGAGGCGGTCCCACAGTCTTCGTGGTTTGTTTACATTCTTCTCTAAAGGACCAGGCGTAGGATGGAGGTCCGAACAGGTGCCACGAGGCCTGTGCCTCGGATAAGGGCGAGGTCACCAGGCAGGGTGGTTGGAGACAGCTTCATGGGGAAGGTGGGACTTAGTCGGGAGCTGCTTAGTGGCTTTCTGAGCTGCCTGGTCTGATGGGAAATCAGTGACGGAGTCCGAGGGGAAATGGGAACCAGCCCGTGGGAGGCCGAGAAGCTCATCTCCTACCACCTCGTCCTGTCCAGCCCTCTCCACCAGTGCCTAGGAGCCAAATGACACAACTCTAGCTTTTCCTGCTCAGCGGAATCCTGGGGCACAGAGGAACTACCACCAGCCTGGGGTGGGAAAAGGGTCACACTGTAACCCATGTTAGACCCGTTTCTCCTTTCTGATGTTTTTCTCCCAGCAGCACTTTCAGAAGCTGGCTCCCATCGTCATAAAACAGATCTGTAAATGCCTGAACCCCAGCTGTGGGCAACTTGAACTCCAGTGTACAAATTATTTCCCTTGGAGATCCTGCACCCCAAGCAGTTTAGGAGATAAAGACTTGTTGGGCCCAGCCAGTATGGCTCGATGGATTGAGCATTGTTCCATGGACTAAGAGGTCCTGGGTTCGATTCCTGGTCAGGGCACATGCCTGGGTTTTGGGCTCCATCCCCAGTGGGGGGTGTGCAAGAGGTGGCAGATTGACGTAACTCTCTTACATCAAAGTTTGTCTCTCTTTAAAAAAAAAAAAAAAAAGGCTTGTTGGATTCTCCTGAACCTGTCATGATAGCTAGTGATTTTGTCTAATCCAGGAGTGACAAACTTTTGACAGCAAGTGCAGAAACTAGCGCACAAATGGTTTTGTTTGGGCAGCATGTTGGTTTTATTTATTTATTTTTTAAATAAGGACACAAGCCCCACAAGCAGCAGCACTTATGTGTTAAGTAATGGCTAGCCACTTCATACATTTGTTACCTGCTTGGCATTTGAAGTCATCTGGGTTTGTGACCTTTGGTCTTCTCTGAATATATAGAAAACCTAATTCCACAGGCTGAGATTAATGTCTTTCCCAGCCAAGACACACAGCTGGACAGAGAACAGACAACCAGGTCAAGCAGAGAACTAGGGCACCATATCCAACTGAAGAGAACTTGAGAAAAAAATCAGGCCTGAATGAATAAGATTTCAAAAGTCCAAGGAACTTATGGGTGGTGGAATTTGACATAAGCAGACTATGAGCAGAAAAGTAATTCTGAAGTTAGTGAAAAACCAGCATAGTCCTGACCCACTGTGTGTCTGGTCCCATGTCAAATCCCGCTACTTACATCAGGCTCACCCTGATCTCAGACAGATGTGCATTCTCCCTCTTTTGAACTCTGCAGCACATGAGGTGTACCTTTTCTGTGACCTTTCTCATTTTCTACCCTGTATGATCTCATCTGTAAGAGAGGATAGGATGGATGACTCCTGAGGGTCATGACATTCTGTAATTTTGTATTGTTAAGTATCTTTTGTTTTTGCCTGACAAGTAATCTTTCCTTTGAGGAATTGCCTAAAGTCCCCTGGATTAAATGGTTCTTAAGGGCATCACACTTCCCTGGCCTCCCAAGACAGGAAGGGTGGGGAGAAAAGAAGGTATGAAGCCCAAGCCTGGCCAACTCTAGTCTCCCTCCTCTAGTCCTCATAGACGTGACCCAACCTGAGATGAGCTGAGCCCTTGCCTGGGATTTTAGAGATGAGGTTGGGGGAGAGGCTCATTTTTTTCCTCTGTTGTTTCTAAGCTTGGGTGAAGTAAGCCTGGAGCTTTGTTTGTTTATAGTCCATATACCAGAAAAGCTGGAGAACCAAATCTTGAAATGGTAGAAACCCAGGAAGGCCAGGCAGCGATGATCCGTGAAAGCAATGCTGCTCCAGTGCTCTGATTAGGGTGCATGCCTGCCCTTTTCATACTGCCATGAATTATTTTTCAACTCTTCTGTGATATTAAGTATCCTCTCAAGATTCAAGTTTTGGTCAGGATCATTGACTTGGCCTAATCAAGGTCATGTGCCAGTGTTCCAACTGGTAATAGGCAAGGAGAGTTTTAGTTTCTGCTGTGGCTTCTATTGGACTCATTGGCTTCTAGTGTAAGAGGAAGGGCCCAAGACTCAGAGTGGGGCAGGCATCCCCCAATTTCAAAGGATGTTCAAATGCTGGATAGTCAAAAAGAACTCTACTATAGACCACCTCTTAGGCATAGGAATGCCCAACATCCACAGACAGGCTTCATTTTATGCTCTCAATTTTAAATAAAAATGCTCCCATTCAAGATAATGCAACCAACTCTCTTACAACAACAATAAAAATGTATTAATCTCCTCCCCAAATGAGGACAGCTCAATATTTCATCAGTTATTGTATCTAGCCCCAGTTCAAATCTGTAGGTGATGATGCATGCTTCCTCTGAATTTTATCATCATCCTATCTCAGTGTTGTCAAGTATAGACTAAAATTTAAAGTTAACCCTCACTGATATACTTTAAATACAATAATGAAGAGAAGAGAGACAAAAGAAAAGGACCATCTCTAAAAAATACATATGATACAGGAAGAAAGGAAATACCAGTAGAGGCTACAACCCTCATTTTTGCAACTGGTAATGAATCTGTATTGGCATCTACGATTTCCCTTCTCCACTACCCATTCCAGGTTCCTCTTACCTTTGAGCTAGCCAGGGTTCTTTACCTGGTGGCGTTAATTAAACCTTCATTCTTGAGTAGTCTGCCTTGGTGGGCCTGCCTGTGTGTAGTGAAGTACCTTTTCATTAACCTGCGTCTCTGCCACAGGAGTGATGAGGTGCCTTAGGAGACCTCCTGGGTTCTAATTATCTCCTCTATCCTCTTGCTAGTGAAGACCAGTCACCAGCCAACACTGTAACCTCCAGTGGCATGAGGAGACCCCATCAATCTCAGTTGTCCATCAAGAGGAACCATTATTATGGCCTCTGGTTGAAAGTCCTGCACTTAAATATTTAAACCAGCTGATCTGAAGAAAAGGGAAGCATAAATTTTGAAGAAGAATCATCAGGTATAATTTGAAAGGTACCACACCCACTTTCACCAGCTGATTCACTGACGTTTGCATTCTGTTGTGCAAGAAAACTGTGTTCAGAGTGCACACTTCATCCACCAGGACAGTACTAGAAACTCCCAGAGTACTGTCTCCCAGGAGGCATTTGAACTAATTTTTTCCTAACTTAACATTTTTTTTATCCTCACCCAAGGACATTTTTGCATTCATCTCCAGATAGAATGGGAGGGAGAGAAGGAGGAAGAGAGAGAGAAACATCGACGTGAAAGAGACACATTGAGTGGTTGCCACCCACACAACCCATCCAGGGCCGGGGACAAACTAAAACCGTATTTTTATATTTTTAAATAATGTTATTGATTTATACATTTTCGACCTGATTTGTTGACTTCTGTTATGTTAGATGATGATTTAGCCCTATTGTAGCCCCTTTCCCACTTTCTCTCATCTACCTTATCTTTGCTATATCACAATTTTCATAATTTAAGTCAAAGTCATTATGACTCTGGGAATATTGTTTACTGCGAAGTTCTATACTATGATTATGTTTCCTTTCTGTTACAACATTTTGTTTTCCTGGAGCTAATGATGTTCTCACAGATTTCGTTGTGTTTATCCTTATTATTTCCATTAAATGTGTCATATTTCTCCTAGTAGTTTGTTTTAAAATGCTCACACTTGCCCTGGCTGGTTTGGAGCGTCAGCCTGCGGACCAGGAGTCCTGGGTTCGGTTTCTGCTAGGGGCACGTACCAAAAAATATAAATAAATAAATAAATAAATAAATAAATAAATAAATAAATAAATAAAATGCTCACATTCATTTGTGCTACTATTTCCATTTCCCCCACCCCCAGAGATTTCCTTCCTAAGAAATTTTCTTCCTTCCAATATCTTGCTCCAAACTTGACCTATTACTCTTGTACAATGTCATCTGCCCTCAGTAGACACATTTGTTATTTCTGGTTCAGGAAGATCCCAGACTTTGTGAAATAAACAGAAAACAGCAACCGACATCCGTATAAAACAACGATAAGAACGAAATAATAAATTTTTTATTGCTAATGAAAATAACAAAAAAGCAGAGAAAAACTGTAACACAGCACTCTTAACATGAATTAAATATCATTTAGTAAACAACGGCAGCTATAAAGAATCTAAAAAATAGCCCTGGCCGGTTTGGCTCAGCAGTTAGAGCGTGGGCCTGCAGTCCTGAGATACCCGGGTTCGGTTCCCACTAAGGGCACGTACCTCGGTTGCGGTTTGTCCCCGGCCCTGGTTGGTCGTGAGGGTGGCAGCCACTCGATGTGTTCCTTTCACATCGATGTTTCTCTCTCTCCCTCCCACTCTACCTGAACAAAAAATGGAAAAATGTCCTCGGGTGAGGGAAAAAAAAAAAAAAAAAAAGAATCTAAAAAATAAAATATTTAAAAGCTCAAAATAGAAATGGACACAAAACAGA